ATGTTTCACCATCACGGGAACTATGAGAATTTGCCCGATTGCTATAGTGCAGTTGATTTTGGGACTAAGGTCTTTCTACTTTTTTGTTGGGGGGTTTTCGAAGCATGTCATTTTGAGATTGGGGATAAATGTACTGGAATTAGTCGAGGAAGGGGATCAGAATCATCTTGTCAAGAAGAATCAGCTCTTGGCGTTGTCTAAGCACGGAACGGTATTGAGAAAAATTTTACCGTATTCCTAAGCACCAGAATGAATTGGGAGCACGCATTTTCAGGCTCCTGATGGTGGGACCACACACCATCAGGTGGTGCACTGATGAGTCAAAAATCTGTACAGGGACGGGTCCCAGGAACCCATGGGAACGGTACGTACGGTTCAGCCATGAAATGGGGTATTCGGATTGGATCTAACGATTATGTTGGATAGCCGCACTGGAGGACCGCCGACAAGGAGATTCTGGAAGATTATGACCAGAAACGATTTCAAAAGATTATAGAGTTAGGGATAAGAATCAGGTGAGAATTCTCACCAGAGTCATGTCGGAACACTACAGACTGTGGGGACCTTAGTAGTCTAAGCCTAAGTAGCACGGCCCTAGTACCAGTTAACAAAATCTGCTGCTAATCTATAATTTTAGATGTTAGAAGTAAATCCGAATCACAGATTACTCATATACCTAATTTATTTTTTATTTTTATTCTATGCATATAAAATAAACACGTAAAACATAATTTCACATGGTAAAATTTAATTCAATATTCTATGAAATATTGTATGAATACTTCTAACCTACATTTATTTACATTATAAATTATCTTAGAAGTCACGTTCATACATAACAACAACAAATTATAATCAATTGTTATCTCATACTCAGCCGATACTTTTCTTCGAAAAGCACGTAAAGTAAATAAATAAATATTGTATTTAGTAGCTACAATACATTTTTTAGAAAAACCCAGAGTTATAAGCACACATAAACTAATTGTATTACATTGCACATTGTATTACGATAGGAAGTTTAAAATTATTGGAAAGGTGGAAGGGATTAAGGATGAAACAAGTAACATAATTTAGATCAAAATTTTAAATTTTTAAAATTTAATTTCATTGAATATGTTTTAAGACCCTATATAAAGGTCATCCAAGTATTATAAAAAATTTTATTGAAATTATGTTTAAATAAAAGCACTAACACGTATTCGAATAATTTTATTAAATATTTTCACAATTAAATCAATTATTAATTATATATTTTGACCAAAACTTTTAAAAAATATTTTCGCGCTCTTTTTAGCGTTTTCGCGCACTTTTAACCATCTACTTATAATAACACTATTATAACAACAAATTACTATTGTACCCTACAAAAGACCTTACACAAAAATAGAAAAATAGAAATTTTAATATTTTCATATTTAGAAATGTTTTTGTGTATATACATATATACTTACCATTTTTCTAGGAAACTAGTATCTAATTAGAATTAGAAAAAAATTGGCTTTATTTATTTATGAATCAATCATAAAATCATCAATCAATAAATTATCAAACAATTGCATAATTTTCGGATAAAAAAATTTGTTATTTTTCGTAAAGATTATGATAAATTAATTGGCCATAGTTCAACTAGTTTATATTCTTATAACCATACTCGAATAATTAAATGAACTTTTAGCTTTTTTCAATTACGTTTATTTATAGCTGTAGCTTACCATTTTTACATATTAAAAATATTTCTATGCAGAGCCTGATTTTAATCAGATCTCATTCAACAATGCTCCCAACAACATAAATAATTTTTACAATTATAAGTAAAATACTAATACACTATGAAACTCAACAAAAAATAATTACAATTTCAAATCAAATACATAACAATATTCACTTCGAATGAGACGATACTAATACAAATATCAAATTATTTACCGTTCCTCTCATTGAAACACGTAAAATACTATTAATGTCACTTCTTAATTTACTTTGGTATAGGTCAGTGCCATTAATAACATATTAAACCATTTTATTTTGTAGTTAATGAAGTTCTTGTTATAAATTTTAAGTATTTAAAAAAAACACACACACATGTTACTAATTACTATTTTACAATTTTAAATTACCTGATTTTTATTTGTATAACAGCAATTTCAACAACTTTATATTTAATTTTATTCACTTAAATTTAAAATAATCAATTAGTGTTAAAAAACAATGCGAATAAATTAATCGCTTGGTATTAAAAGTCAAAAATTCTGAATTCTTATTAAAAAAATTAAGTATTTATAGACTTTCATTGAATTCGATCAACAAAACTAAAATTGTACACTTAACAACGGAATTGTTATACTACAGTGAAATTTACAATCATTAATCTAACTCTTTAAATATTTTCTAACCTTAAAGGGAAGTCAGCAAATCGTCATAATTCTAATTATACGGGAAAGAAAAAAAAATGGGTAATTTAGTTTTTATTTAAATTTCATTTAAACGATTTTATTACTCGTATAATTAATAAATTTTCAAAATCATTTCGAAAAAAAAAATCATTAATAATTAATAATAATTAATTGGTTTAAAAACAAATGTTTAATAAAACAAAAAAAATGTTCTGTTAATTGTAATTGAGATTATTAAATTAAATGAGTGTATAATAAATTGTTTACAAGATAAACTGATTAATTCTGACTCTTATAAACTGATTAACTTAAATTTTAATTGAAATAAGGAGTCTTTGCTAATTTTATAATTTAAAAAAAAAATTGGGAGCTCTAAAAATTTTTCAAAACAACTTTCCTTCTCATACCAAACTCAATTGAGCTAAATAAATTAATTGACTTTTAATAAGTAATGAAATAAGTAATTGTACCACGAAACAAAGTGACTCACGTTTAGAGTAGCATGTAATTGTTGAGGATTCTCAACCTGTATAGTATAGAGGATTCGAATAGAAAAACTGAAACGAAGGAGAGCTCTCGATTTAGCTTAAAGTGCTGAAACATCATTCCCATGCAATGAAATGTAGACACAAAAACACAATAAAGTTATTTGAACTTGGGTTAAAGTTCCCAATAATGGAAACTTTTTAATATTTTGTTATATTTAAAAACTTAATTACCTCAATTATTTTACGCATTTAAAATTAAAAATATTTACGATTTAATACAATTAATGTCAAATTAAAAAAGATTTCCACTGATATAATTAAGTAAGTAATTTTTATAAATATCTATGCGATTTTCAAAAGTTCATCCACTTGCTTTTTTTAAAGTGACTGTTCAATCATATCAAATTCTGAATATAATTCTACATATAGGTTGAAAATACAAAGTGAAAATTTGATTTTTATACAGGTAAAAAAACTAAAGTGGGTTTCAAGAGTGTCAAGAGTTGTTTAAGCTCTTAGATTTTATCTATATAAACTATTCAAAATTATATTTACTGAACGCACTCCACACAAATAGTGGGGGGTTATTTGATGGCATCAAATTTTACATGTCGAATTTTTCGGCGTGTAAAAATACGTTTCTCGATACTAGATAAGCGTAAACTTTTACTAAAAATCGACTTTACATATTTGACCATATCTCAGAAACTTATTGACGGCACCTCTTCAAATTTAATATTACAATATTGGTTGTTAGCAAAATTACCTGGGAAAATTAGCAAAGAAATAAACCTCTACTGAAAACCAAGTTTACATTTTTCTAGGCACATTACCTAAAGTCTAATTTCTATCTTTCGTAGAATTTGAAATAATTATTTAAAGCAAATTTCTATCATAATCTTATGCAGCACTTCAAAAATGTGATCGATTATGTGTTGTACCCATCAGGTATTACAGGAATATTAATATAATGCCATTTCAAAATATTTGAGTTTAATTATAAGAGATTTATTTTTATACTTCGAATTATAGTGTCGAAATTGTTATATGACAATTATAAGAATTTGAGATTTAAATTAATATTTAGTTCTATTCAATTGCATATTGCTATTTATTTGTTGTTTCCAAGGCCGTTCGAGTATTGGCAGCTTTAACTAGAACATCTGTTAATTTATTTGAATTTTACGATTCTCCCATAAGAATGCTAAATCAGTATTACCTGTTTATATCTGATATTCGTTTCTCAAATATTATGCAATGCAGAAGAATTCTTATAACAAAACAAAATTTTGTTACTATTTTTATTATTGCAAGTTCTATAGTAAGTTTTCTTTAATTTCACTGCTTTTAAAATTTTTTTCGTAATTAAGATGCGCTCAAAAACATTTAATGAATCATCTTATATCATTAAGTAATTTCACTATACACATAGGTATAGGATATGTTCCTAACTACACATATATCTAAAGAGTACAGAGTTTATCTTATATACACTGACTACACAATTGAATATAAGATTTCTTAGACATGCGCATTGAGAGCGCAGTAAGCAAAACTATAAAAATCTTTAATAAAATTATTCAAAGCTTTAATTGTGTTGTTTACAAATTTTGTACTCAAGAGTTAAGAGATAAAAAATCTCACATTTTTCATTAAAATCTCTTGAAAATTTTGCATTTACATGCAACTCAAAAATATTCATTTACTCTAGTGTTGTTCACAATTTTATCAGGTTTGTAATCAAATTAATTTTACATAATTTTAAAATATATTTAAACAAAAAAAAAAAACTCAAAACTGTGATAACAATAAAAAAACGGCATTTATTATAAGTTTTTCTATAATCGAAAATTAAAAATGGTTTTTCTCTTTTTTATATTTTTAGTTACAATTTAAAATAAGCGTCAACAATTTGATTAAAAGTTAAGCGACAAGTACCTATATATACTTTTGAAATGCTCATATCTTTTCGATAAGATTATCCACATTATATACATGTATTTGAATGAGGGATGAAATGAAGAGAAGAGGACACACAAGGGGAGGAAACCGAGGAAATTTTTTTTTATTTAAATACGTGTAATCAGTGTATAAGAATAACCAGTTTTAAAATAAGCTGTTTACAGAGAAAATGTCTTTTCAAACACTTTTCGTACTATGCCTTGGTATTGCTTTTACTCCGTGGTTGGAGGCAAGAGAATATCAAACAATTCCTTCAATAATTGAGGATGATTTACCAGAAATACAATGGAATCTCAATAATTATAATATAGATGAACAATTTGTATCAAAAGGTGAGAAATTTTATTGAAAAATTAAATTAAATAATAATTTTTATTTTGATTATTTTTTTCAGAATGCACATTTAATGTTAATAAAGATATTAAAGATCCACAACCATTATATTTAGTACCAAATTCAATTGATTTTTATGAACCCGATACATCCGGAAATGTACATATACCGAATGGAAAACAAATTGAATTTCATTGTACTAAAGGATTTGCATCGCCATTTTTAAATTTAAAAAATATAACATCAAAATGTAAAGGTGGCACCAGTTATGAGGTTTCAGGGAAAATTTATAATTTCACAGAATTTATTTGTACTAAAACAAATGATTATATTGCACGTCCAACAACAAAAAAATGTTATAATAATTCAATGATAGCTGAAATAGGATTTGAAATTATAAATAAAAAATTTGTTAAACTTATGGAAATTTGTCATGATGAAATATCTGCTTCAACATACTATGTTCAACATAATATGGGACCATTTAATAATAAATATCAACGTAATGTTACGCGACCATATTTTCAACAGGGAAAATTCTTTAAAAAACTTAATATCAATAAATTATATACACAAAATGAACAAATCAAAACAGTTGGACGTATTTTAGGTGGTAATCATGAAAAATATTTTGATATTGATAAATATGTATATTTGGCAAGAGGACATTTAGCAGCTAAAACAGATTATGTTTATGGTGTACAACAATTGGGAACATTCTTTTATATTAATGTTGCACCACAATGGCAAACATTTAATTCTGGTAATTGGCTTGCTGTTGAAGATGGTGTTCGTAATTTTATTGCAAAAAAAAAATTATATGTTGATTTATATACTGGTACATGGGGTGTTAGTTCTTTGAAAGATTCAAAAGGTGTATTTAGAGAATTATATTTGTATAATACTAATGATAATAGTAAAAATCAAGTACCAGTACCAAAATTATTTTATAAAATTGTAATTGATCGTAAATCAAGAAAAGGTATTGTTTTAATTGGTGTTAATAATCCACATTTAACATTAGAAGAAATTGAAAATGATTATATAATTTGTAATGATATTAGTAATCAAATTAATTGGCTTAAATGGAAAAAAGATAATATAACAAATGGTTATTCGTATGCTTGTAGTATACCAGATTTTGTGAAGGTTGTAAAACATTTACCAAAATTAAATGTTAAAGGAATTTTACTTTAATTTAAATAATAAATTTTATTTTTAATATTGGACTTAGATTAAATTTTATTTATGTGTATGTAAATATTAGTATAATAAAATTAAATTATAAATAATTTTTAAATTTAATGATAAAAGTTAATTATGAGTTCGTAAGTAATTAAGTGAATTATGAGTTCATTTATCTCTTCGTTTCTATACTATCGGATTACTCAACGATCTTGATAACAGTATAGTTTAAAAAAATCAATATTATTTAATAATTGTAATGAAATCTGCAGAGATTGTCCTATAAAAAACTTTTAACATAAATATTTGAAAGGTTCAATTAACATACTCTGATTCATTTACTTGTGAGTCCTTTCTTTATCTCTTCCTTTTTCATATGATCCATTAGTTCGATTTGAAAATCTTATCCACATCGTATTATTTTAGATACTATAAAACATTCTACTTGAAAATTTTCTTTCTTCTCTCTAAATTTTTATATTATTATTTAATTTTGCATATATTTAGGATGATGCGTAAATTAAAAATTGCGTTATCTGAATTATTTTTTCGTATTTTAATATTTAATAGCAATATTTTCATTGTTTTTAATGAGGAAAAATTAAATAAGAGAGTTTTCTTTTTGAGAGTGTACAACAACTTGTTAAAATATATTAATTTTGTGCAGTAACTATAGAATTTATTATTTATTGTGGAGAATTTTCCTACACTCCGCAATTGTTTAACATTTTGAAGAATTTTGCAAATAATGTGTACATATTTCGTTGATATCAAATTTTCCAAAATATATTAATATTTTTCCAAAATGGTCATCTTCAATAATTTCTAAAACGGTAATTTCTCTAAATTATTATAATGATCCCAACTGCTGAAAAGGGAACACGGAATATTAATTTTATAATTCAAAATAATTTAAATGAGTCAAGAAAGATCGAAGTTCTCGTAAACAAATACGAAATGTAATGTTTGGACTAAATTGAGAGGAACGGAATTAATTTACCCATCTTAAATTTTTAGTCAACAAAAAAAATTTTTTTTGTTTTTCCTCTTTGACGGGGCTCATTCATTATAAATCATTATAAATCTAAAATCTAAATGTTAAAATATTAAATTTTTTATATAAGAAGCACAAAAATATCACAGATCATTTCCGTGAAGAATAATAAATGAATACCCTCATAAAAAGTGTTATATATGCTTAAAAAATATCTACATTTATAATAAACAGTTGAAATTATTCAAAATCACCTCTACATTATAACTATATCAAATACCTAATTTTCACACATTTTTATTCTTAATATGAGAAAATACCAAAACGAACAAGAAACATAAAAAATAATAACAACAATACTAATGCTCATTTAAAATTTGCATTACCCACTACAATTCACTTAACTAAATCAATATACATACACACACAGTTACATTTGATTTATTGTATTTATAGTGAATTGGTCAGGTGAACGAATAAAATTTCATTTTTCAACTTTTAATTATATTTACCTTTAAAGTAAGACAAAAATTAATGAAATTTTATATCAGTTATAAGAGCTAACATATAGTATAACAAAAAATACAATTACAGTTTGGAATATACAAGTGTATATCCTAAATACCATTATAATAACTCTAATATTTTTAAAATAATTTGAATAATAAGTATTCTAATGTTTAATTTATGGGAATCACAATTTATTTTTAATAATCTTTTGGATTTTCAGAGGGTTTTCCCACTTATTTGCATCATCGCCATAAATTATTCAAATATAGTATAAGCTTTCTAGCATTTTTTTCCTAATAATTTAATTTATATCATCCTAGAATCGTTTGGAATTAATTGCAAAATTTTCCAAAGTTTCAATGTTATTTTATAAAACTTGAAATTTTTCATGATTTATTCTTGACCAGTGAAACAAAAGTACTTGATATTTACAGACAATTCGCCTATTTATTATTCTTTAATTAGAATGTAGAACAGTTACTTTTCATATATACATATATATGAATGTGTGTATGTAAATTAAAACAAATGGTTTTCCATATAACAAAACCAGAATTAAGCTCGTTTTGGATAACAAAATAATGCACCTTTTTTTATTATATTCAAAAATGAAAAATTTTGAAAAAGTTGATTTTAATAAAATTCTAGTTATAATCTCTTAATTTATATTTTTATATATAACATGTATATATATGACATATAGAAACACCTTATTAGATATTAGATTGTATATAGGGTGTCTCATATCTGTTATACACAACATAAATCAATGTATAGCGCGGTATGTCACTTGTAGAATACTCTCACTCTCTCTCTCTCTCTCTCTCTCTCTCTCTCTCACTTTTGAAAACATGACGAATAAATGTAGAATTAAATTTTTTTTATGATATTTGAGTTCATTCATAAAATATTTTACTAGCATATTTCAGATGTGCATTTAAACATTTTACGTGATCAGATCACATCCAATAGCGAGACCAAAGAGCACTTTTCAAATTAAAAAAATCAGTATTACTAGAGATTGGTGCAAAAAAATTTGCTGGTTTGGATTTGGTGCAAAAATCCTAATTACACCATCCTTATTGCACCAACCTTATTTACTTTTACTTTCGCATTTACTTTTCATTTTTTAAAAAAAAGTGCTCTTTTTATGGATTTGTGTTTTGACTCTTTGAATTCATTTGTGCTTTCACTCTTTGGTGCAACATAATTTTACTACAATAGTAATAATAACCTTTGTAATAATATTGAGCTCTTTTGCTCAATAATAGCGAAAGGGCTCAATATTATTACAAAGATTATTATTATTATGAGTGGCTGTAAATAAATGACCTTATCTCTGCTCTAATATATTAATTTAGTCTAGCCATTTTCGGCCATTCGGTATTTGCATTTCTTTCATATTCAATTTTATTAATGAAAATAAAGAGAAAAATTTTAAAAAATTTTTATTGGTAACCGTAAATGTCGGAACACTGCGTATAATATGAAAGCATCATATGATTTTCATATATAAGAAGATATGTTTGAATGTATGTATGCCTTGTATTCTATTACTTAAGTCATATTAGGACAAACATAAAGAACTCCCACTTAAATACTTAAAAAAAAAAAAAAAAAATTTTTTTTCTTCATTTTTCTTATATGCTTTTTTCATTTTAAATTTTCCATTTTATTCACTTTAGCGAGCAAAACTAAAAAATAAAACAGAAAGTGGACTTAAATAATAACACGAATATCAAATATTTACCATAAAATCAGTTTTTTTTTTATAATTTGTTTAACAGATCGCTTGAATTGCTCTTTTATATAGGCGAGATTATGTAGACATTTAACATTTACTTGCTAAGCTTAAAACAAGTTTCTGCTTAAAAAATTATTGAATTTTAATAATAGTTGCATTTAATAGCTTGATTTAGTTATACATACAGATGAAGCATTTTGGAAAATTTAAAAAAAAAAAAAAATTTTTAATTTTTCATTTTTAATTTTTTTTCAATTTTCACTTTTACAATATTTTGTGCATTTTATTTGAAAAACTTTGAAGATTAAAAGTGAATTAAAGGTGAAAATCCAAAAAAATAAAAAAAAAGAAGAAAATGAATTTTATTACCGGTTTTATGACGTTATTTATTACTTTAATTAAATTTAATTTAATAGTGAATACACAAGAAATGCAAGAATATGATTTAATTAAGAATGCAAGTGAAACTAATAATGATAATAAAAACAACAATAACAACAACAACAACAACAAGAATTATTATTGGCCTCCAATTTATAATTCGGAAACAATTGAATTGGAAAATATTTTATTGAAACAATTAGAACGTGGTAAGTTTTAATTTTATAATTAATTAATGAAAACAGATGGTATATAATTTAATTTTATATAGTTAAATATGATAGATTTGCTTAAATGTGGAACAAATAAATGTGCCGATGAATGAAATTATTTATTCAATTTTTGGCATTAAAATTACAAGATCACAAACAGTTATGAGATACAATCATATACATTCTGCCAGAATTAATTATTTAAATATTGTCCAACATAAAGGTTTATTTAAAGTTCATGTTTTTCATGGTTCTGAAATTTTAAAACAATTAGAATTCAATTGAATAATTCGAAAGCATTGAATTAATTTTTATGTTACAAATTTTAATAGAATTTTTCATAATTTTTCATAGTATCTAGTTATGTACCCTGAAATCTCTTTTAATTCAATAATTCGCGTACAATCTTAACAGATAACAAAGATTAATAAAAGAAAAATCTGAGATTTCAGATAATCTTAATAACAATAATTGCATATCATGCAGGCGCAAATCTACAAATTATAATATTCATATAGGTACTTGCAATCACATAAATTTGATTACCTAACAAAACAAATACTTACATTCAATTAAGTATAAATAATATTTACAAATGAATGTCATTTGTCAAAAACTTGTAATAATGAGTGCTAAAAAAAAATGCGTCATAATAAACTAAGTGGCACGAAAGTAACGAGAACAATTGTTGACATTTTTTATTTTCCTATACTTTGTGTTAGTACTCTGTCTACCTACAAATATTTGTACTGTATACAAACAAACATATTGTTTTTTTTTTTTTGTTATTGTAATATAATTTCGTGCTAGTACAAAATCTAGCATTTTTTTTGTAGTATTTTTGAAGAAAATGTTTACTATAGAGTGGTAATTACTTATGAAAATAAAGCTTTCATAGATAGTTTAAAAATTATATGTAATCATTCAAAAACAAAAAAAAGTTATTCCAGTGAGTTTTAATTCTGAGATATTTTTTATAATTTTTGCACTATATGCAAATATGAACTGGGAATAATTTAATTTTTATTAGAAGTTATGTAAATTTTGCTGTTATATCAGAGTGTTTTACAGCAGTACATTTAATTTCGTTTACAATTTTCATTCTCTACTTAAGATTTACTAAACTAAATTTTACAGAGCACAATATCAGTTCAGTTTTTCCAATTATAATTTTCGATTTCAAGATGAATACACCATACATATTAGCTTACGAATGAAAGACATTTATTGTAAAATTGAATTTGAATTAATGAAACGTTGTAATTTTAATTAATGAAAATTTTTTAAAAAATAATTTAAGAAATTTTACATTTACCACAATAAATTCTAGGAAATATTTAAAATCTATAAAGTAAATCTAATTCAAACATTTTATCTATATATTTTAGGTTGTAGTCCTCATTTCATTAAAAACCAATCATCTATATTAAATACAACCCAGGACATTATTAATAATTTATCAATGACATCATCATCATCATCAACACCATTCTTTATGATATCAGAAACAGAAAATCGTGAAAAAATTAATGATCCATATCCAACGAAATTTGTTCATATTCCAACAGGTCAAATACTTGATTTAGATTTTGAATGCGATGATTGTCCAAATAGTAAAATTACATTAAATGGAATATCATATGATACATTAAATTTTGAATGTAAAACATTATGCATTTTTACAGCAAAAAAATCACATGTTGATTCTTGTCGTAAAGCACAAATGTATAAAATTGGTATAAAAATTCAAAATAAATTTTATAAATTATTAGAATCATGTCATCATTTAGAATTAGCATCAAATATAACATATGATGCACAAACATTAATGTGGAAATTGGGAAAATTTTCAAGAACAATTCAAAATGAAAAAATTATTTGTCAGCCTAAATGTATGCCAATATGTAGAGAATTAAAAAATAATACTGAAGAATTAATATTAGAAAATCAAAGTGATACAAAAGAAATGGTGAATGAAAAATATGCAAAAGAATTTATGGAAAATTTTTGTTTAAGAAATATTGGAAAAAAAATTATGAATATTGAAGAAATTATATGTAAAGAGAAACAAAATAGTAGTAATAATTTAAAATTAAATAATTATGGAATTTTGATATTAATTATAAAATTTTTATTATGGAATTGAATTTGATTCAGTGGGATATTTAGTAAAAATAAATTTGTAATTAGAAAAAAAAAATTTGTAGTAATGGATTTGTTTTAATTCAACAGTATAATGGAGGAGAATAAAATTTTTGATTGAATTTAATTCAGAGCTTGCCATCAAAACAGAAATTTCTAGAAGTCTGAACAAAAAATCTATTATTTTTCTAAAATACACAAAATCTAAGAACTGAAATATATAAATATGTCTTAAAAAATTTGACGATCCCTACAAAAGAGTCCAATTTAATTTCATTAAATATTTTAGGTAAAATAATGATTTTTTTGCCAAAAAAATCTACTTTGAATAATTTTCATTGACAATCAAAATTTAAAAATTACAAAAAATTCTCATAGTCTTTATGCACAATTTTACAATATTTAGATTAAAACATTAATAAATATTTTACATTCTTCATTTATTTTTAAACAATGTATAACATCATTTATTTATATTTTTTGTTTTTCTTTATAAATTCTATTAAATATAAGAGTTTAAACAAAAACTTTGTATATGATTCCAAATTTTTTTTTTAAATTTTCATAAATTGCTAATAAAATTTTTGGATTTTTCATTATACATAAATTTTTTTTTTTAGCCAACAAAACTGTTATATTCATCAAATATTCAATATTTACCATTAATTTATATACAACTACAATTTGAAAACAATAAAATTATAACAATTTTTAATTTAGGATGAAACTTATAACAAAAAAAAAAAATATGTATATATAAATCTATATATGAATTTATTCTCTTATACATAAAAGATAATTTTAATATTACAAATAAAAATAATGTGAATCATAATTATATAACAATTTCAAAAGTTTCTTTCTATTTTTAAATTCTATAATATCAGATAAATATATATACAAAAATATATATTCTATATATATATATATATATCAGTATATAAGCCTGTCTAAATTATAATATTAAAAATTATATTTTTATTTAACAAACTTTATTAATCATTTTAACTAATTCTGTATATAGGATACATTTACGACTTCTTGGTTTACAAATTTCTCTATGATCTAATTGTAAGCCACAAACATCACCAATTCCTGGATCTAAAAATAAAAAGTAATTAAAATATTAGTAACAATATATTTAATTTCTATGTAATTTCAAAATTTACCTGCAGAATCAACTCCAACAATTCGTAAATAAACAACTTGCATAAATGTCATCGCCGTTTCAACAAAACTAAATACTTCGATTTTTAAATGTCGACTATAGTAAAGATTAACAAAACGACGATGTAGATCTGCTAAAACTTTTGAATCTGCAAAATACAAAAACAAAATAATTAAATTAATTTAATTCTTAAATTTGATAGCAAAATGAGAATTTTTAAACCCCTAAATATATGCAATTTAATTTCATAATTAAAAATTTCTCATAAATGTTAAAGAAACCAATATTAAAATATTTATTTTAAAATGGGTAATTAACTAGCTAATAAAACAAAATTATAGAGCTAAGCTCAAATTTTAAATATTCCAAGTTATTGCGCATTTATAGCATTTATGCATTCTTTTAATAAACATTGAACTTTATTACAAAATATCACAAATTACGGTATTATTTAAAATTTATTTGAAATCTGCTTCTCCCAGATTATTTTTGAACTTTTATATTTAATTTTACTGCATAAGTAAGTAAACAAAAGAATTTTCACCTATTATTACGTAAGACAAAATACAAAAAGCCAATTGAAAGACTGAAATGAAATGTCATTACCAAGGTAAAAAAGCAAAAAAAAAAAATCAATAAAATTAATTCTTTTTCCTTTCAACATTTAAAATAAAAAATAAATAAAACAGACTGAATCTAACAACAAATTGTCGTAAATTTTTTTTACTTACTTTTCTCAATTTCAACCAACTCAATAGATCTTCGAACAAGCGGTAAATTAATATCAGCTAAGGCAGAGCCACGATGTGGTACAGAATAAAAAAATACACCTCTAGAATTTTGCCATAGTGGTGCAGATGCTTGTTTTCCACTTTCCCAAGCATCAACTAATATTTGTTTTAAATATAGGCCACCTTTTGAATGACCAACCCAAACGATTGGATGATTTTGACCAACTTTTAATTTTATTAAACGTTCAGTCATTACACGAACACGTTCTGACATCGATGATCGATGATGTTTTTTAATCCATATTGGACGCCATAAATGTGGATCTGTTGTATAATTAACTGCTATTACTCTTACACCAGGACAATCTAATGGTAACCAATCGCCGGGCCAACATCTTGAATATGGTTGTTCAAATGGAAAAATATCTTCTTCAGTTGGTTCAGCATGTTTCGGACGGTTTTTAGCTGATCTTGGACGTGGTGACTGACAATGATAATCTTCTAATCGTAATCGGAATGTTGGATATGTTGCATAATCAGTATCATTTAAATAATCATTTGATTCATCTTGAGATGAAATCGATTCTTTAAATGGAGAATCGAAATATCTAAAAAATAATTAATGTTATATTAGCATTAAATATAACACATAATTTATTTAAATTACCTAATATTTTCTTTTTCATCTTCTCGATTTAAAATATAATCAAAATTATCATTTATTAATGATATGTCATTTTCATTGAAATTTTCTGCCCATCTTGGTTTCTTATTTGAATGCGGTGGAACAAAAATATTTGAACGTGAATATCTTGGTCTTTTTGGTGGTCTTAATGGTGGCTTTGGTGGTCTTTCAAAATCTACTGGCATTCTTTCATTACTCCATAAACCTTGTTTCCAAGTATTTGGTAATGAACCATGTAATCCATGTATAAAAATTATATCAGCTCGTATTGGTTGACCTTCTGGTGGCTCAGCTAATACTTTTATACTAACACATTGTTCAGCTGTTTCTATCAGTTCGGGAGGTTGAATCTTTGGTAAACTTAAATGACGTATAGGACTATAAATAATTCGTTTTGTCTCCCAACTAATTTGAGATGATGATTCTGTTAATGATGTTATTGTTCGACTTTTATCATAGTGACGTTCAAAAATTTGGGCTTTTTTCAATTTAATTATTTTAATAAGAGGATCAATTCTATGTGATACTGAAAAATAGAATGAAATGAAATGATAAAAAAAATTAATTTTAAATTTACATACTTTCATACATACATTATACAATTTAAGATTTATTTCAAAATTCAAGACGTACTTAAATAATTTTAGAACAAAATATTTAAAAGAGGAAAAATTTAATTATCAAAGTTTTATTAAGATTAAAATTACACAATCTTATTAAAAATACTTTTTGTATTAAATTTTTGTCACTTGCTTTTACTTTTTTCAAGAAAATTATTGATTTAATGGCACGTGTATAACAAAGGAAAACTAGATTTTTACGTCAGTCAAACAAAAAGAAACCTTCAAAGTTCATTTATTCGTTAAGCATAAAAAAAAAAATTTCCATTACAAAACTAATTTGTAATGTAACTAGCCTATTAATGAACAGGATTGCTATAAAATTAAAATAAATTTTACATTTCTTTGGCCCTCACCTTTTACATTATTTTACAAAATTTATAAAATTTTCGTTTACCTTGTACTGATGACAATCCTAATGATATTGTATTTGCAGCATATGCTAACATATTTGTTATTGTTTGTTTATTTGTACCTAAATTTCTTAACATCTTCCATATTTTATCAGTGCGAAAATTTTTTAATCTGCTGGCAACACCATTTGCAAATGGTAATACAATACGTAATAATAATCCAATAGCTAATCGCATACGATTCTGTTGTGAACTAAAAAATAAAATGAAGAAAGAAAAATAAGAAAACAAAATATTATTGAATGAAATAAAAAATGTTAAATTAAATAAGAGAATTATTTTCTCCTGTAAATATGCAATTATTATAAAATATAATTGAATATGTAATACAAGGAATTTTATTGCATTATTTTACAGTATTATTGAATAAATTGAATAATTTTCAATTATATTTTATATATGTGCGTGTTTATGTATATATAATTACCTTTCTGATAGCCTTAAATTAAATTCTTCTGATTTAACTAATTGTTTTCGTTTTTCATCATCTGTCATATTATTTCCATGTACATTAACATTATTATTAATAATTAAATTATTAATTTGATCACTTTCAATTCTATTTCTTTCATTAATATCATAATTCAGGTACATATTTTCCTTATAAATTAAATTATTTTCATATAATTGATTTTTATTATTATTTATGATTTCTTTGGTTTCCATTTTAAGATTTTCATTAAAATCTTTTAGAATTTTTATATTTTCTATTGAATTAATTGAATTTTTTCTCTTAATATTAATTTTTTCGTTTATATCTAATTCACTTTGTTTATTATCACAGTTTTTTACATTATCTATTTTAAAATCTTTTTGATTTTCAATATTATTACAATTATTATTAATTCTATTATCTAAATTATTAATATTATCGATGTTACTATCATTTTTTAAAATATCATTTGATGATATATCTGTAGTGTCCGGTTTATCATCTTCTGATTCATATTTAATTTGTATGTCTGCATTTAAATTTAGATTTTGAATATCTTTAACAAACATTATTGCTTATTAATTGATTTGATATTGTTATATTTTTTAAATATTCTTTGTAATATTAATTAATTGGATGATTTATTCTGGTAGTAACTTTTAGTACCTGAAAAAGAAAAAACAAATTTTAATATTAAACAACTTAGTGATAAATTATTTATACTTGTTTCAAAAAAATTTCTAAAATTAAATGAGAAAATCTTAAGGCTTTCTCTTTAATGTGAAGTGTGATTATAAACACGGTACAAAGAGTAGATAAAAAATATTAATGCAATCTCAAAATTGATTTATTTTTCAACCATATGACTCGCATCTGTCCTGGATTACAAACCATAAGTATAGAATTTTGTTCTAATTTTCAGAAAACGTGTCAGAAATTTAAATATTCAAATTCTATCAAAATCAAAAATTAATAAATTTTAATAAACTAATAACAAATATTTTATTTCGACGCAATGTTTATTAATAACAATCTTCCTCACATATTATTTTGAATATTTAGAAATGTCAAGAACCTATGGGGAATACCCACTATCCAACATTGGAAAAATTTTAAAATATTTCGAAATTAATGGAAAAAACCTACCAAATTCATATTATACTAGTAATTTTGAGGGCAATATTTTGGAAAATAAAATACATTTATTTTAATTAACAAGTAGTAATTAAGACTTTTAAATTTTTTTCAAAATATTTTTGATTAAAGATTTTTAAAATGTAGAATGGAGGGTTTTCACTATAAGCCCTCGAATTATATTATTTATGTATTTATTATTAACACATTGCCGACCGCTCGAATTTCAACTAAATATAAGTTATCCACCGCGCATTTTTCATTCTATCAACATCGTCTTCTGAAAATTCTAATTCAGTATCAACGTAAAATTCATCAAAAGCATCTTCAATTTCCTGAGACATTTTATTGAGGTCTTTTATTATATTACAAAAATATATTACAAAAAAAAATATATAGTTGTTCGATGATAAAATATAAAGATATACGATGATATTATAAGCTATAATTCAATATCAGCAATATTTCTTTTCTACTGAAGAAATATTGCTGATATACCGTTATATACTGCGATTAACGAAGAGAAGAGAGCATCAAAATATGTAATATAATATATATAGATTTAATATACTTAAAACCATGTATGCAGTACATTGTCAAACGGGGAGATTTCCCCGATCGGTCGTACACTGACATTTTTTATGGCGGGGTGATCTCCCCGATCGGTCGGCAATGTATTAAAGAATTTTTGAAAAAAAAAATTTTACCAGAGAAAAAATAAATACATAAAAATTTTCTGTAATAAAAATGCAAAATTTTCAAAATTTATGAAGATTTTTGGCAGCACTAATAAACTTTCTATACAATTCTATACCAATAAAAAAAATATACGCAATATACTGCACATAGCGCAATGCAATTATGTGATGAAAAACACAAATTTTATAAAACATATTCATATGTGAAATTATTCATTCTCAAACAGGTTGCAACTTGCAAATTCTTATATCTTAATTTTTTTCCTCTCTTTCCGCTCTTTTCAATTTTTCTGTTTTCACTAAATTATTTTACGTAGTAGAGTATAGAGAATAAAACATATCGGGAATTCTCTTGATTAAAAAATTGCCTCTTGAGTAAAATAAGACGTTCCTTCAAATATTTTTTGCATCAAAATTCCCAAAATTTCTTTTATTTTAAATTTATTTAAAACAACTTTTGTTTTTTGAGCCGTAAAATCCCATTTAAATACAACCCAAAATATTTCGAATACAAATAATTTTGCCCGATAAATGAATTGCATATATACATATATACATACGTTTTTATGTACATATATACAAAAATAATTGCTATATTTTGTATTTCAAAAGAATTATCAAGAAATTAATGAGTCATTCTTTAAATTTAAGATTTCCAAATTAGTGTTTCACATAAGAATAAAAATAAAAAATTTTCTTTTAAAATTTAGAATTTTCTTCTTACCTTTAATTTTAAATTTAAAAAATAACAAAAGAAACAAAAATATCGATATTATACGATAACTTTATCACGTATTCTATCTAAAGCAAATTTCAATTGTACCGGTAATAAATATTGTATATGTATAGATATACGATAATAATTATTATATGAAATCACAATTAATTTGTTACTTTTTTTTAACAATTCAACACCCTTCTTGTTGATTTCAACTTCTTTCGTTAAAAAAATATAAATTAACTTATTTTTACTTCTAAATTGCTTTTTATAGTAAATTTTTATTTAAATGAATAACTAAATACGTGATTCAAATAATTTCAATTAAAGATTCAATAAAACTAAATAAGAAACAAAATTATAAATTTTTATTTATCACAAATTAATATTTGAATATAAATTAAAATTAATTTTAAGCGAAAGTTTAACGAATATTTAACGAAAACTTAACGAAACTTTAACGAATATTTAACGAAATAATTTAACATCAAATTCGTTATCGTTTTTCTAATTTTTTTTCTTGTTTTTTCTTTCTTATTTACTATTTGAATTTTTTGGTCTTCTTGTATACACTTCAAAATCCCGTACTAAACTAACATAATAGAATGCATTTTATTTAACTAAATAGTTATAAACAATTAGTAACGAGAAGAAGAAAAATAAAATTTTGTTTGAACGTAAAAAAAATTTTAGTATAAGAACAATTCTATACTACACATACACACACATGTTTAAATACTATTTTAGTTTCTATTCTGTTCGAAGCTTTCTTTCTTGAGGCTTAAAAGCTTTTAATTTTTCCTTTTTCTTTTTTTTTGTTTTTATTATTTGCTATTTTTATTTATTTTAGATAAATAGAAATAAAAGTTGTTGTTTTTTTTTTTTGTAATGGAGTTTGATGGATTTGAAAATTTTTTAAATAGAGCGTACCGGTTTTTTACCGTACGTAATAATGTTTCACTCCGCAAATATGAAATATAACACTTTAAACAATTAATATAACAGTTAATAAAACACTCAATTAAAAAAGCAATTTATAAATGGAGTGCTGTTTGGTACACTTATATATAGGATTAATATTCAATTATATAGGAGTATTAGTTCCTAACGGGAGAAATTCGATTAAATGGAAATAAAAATTAACCTATAAACTTAAATATTCAAGATTTTAAATTTAAATATTCAAGATCTAGTATTCAATGATTTCCAAATTAATATGAGGCTATACCTTACTTAATAAATATACGTAATTACTTCTCTAAATTAGTCCTTTATGTTGGATGGAGTGGATGAGAGTTTTATTTATTTAGAATGAAACGTTATAATTATACATATATGCATACAATTTTATTCAGCGTCGAGGTCCTATATTAGATCATCCGCTCGTTTGTTTGTCCAATTAACTAGTTCGAAAATTAAAAGAGTTAAGTACAACAAATTGTAATAAAATTTTTATAACAGTAAATGTCCAATTTTTATTCAAGTTTAGTGCAATCGTAACATTTGCAACACTAGAGTTCGCCCAGTTGCTTTACAACTTGAAAGCAAATTTAACTATGTTTTAGCAAACTCTTTGACTATTTATAGGATAAATCATTTTGCCGACTCCGCCCATTCTCATGCTTTCTTTCCCAACTATTAAAACAGAAATTGAAATCTATGGCACGGCAAATAAATGTTTTACTACTGTGTAATTTTGCATTTTCTTCCATTATGCAAAATTTTTTCATTGTTTAATTCAATTCTTATTTTTATCGCAAAAAATTCAAAATAAACAATAGCCAAGAAGTGCAATTTTCTTTTCGTATTTTTTTTTTTTAGTTACGTATGTAATATTTTATTTACATATGTATCTACATATATATTATATATATTCCGATTATATTATATAGCCATAAGTGAGCTTTAAATGTAATATAAATTATCATATAATAAAAAATATTAGAATATCTGTACGTATACTCCGTAACAGTATTAATGAAAATAGTACTTGTTGCAAATAGAACAGAATTAAAAACATGCATAATATTATAAAATATTATAATATTGAATTATTTTCAATAAAATGTAATAAATCTCGTAATTTTTTTTAGAATGGCAGACAGTATTTTAATACCAATTTATTTAAATTAAGTATTTGAATTTTGAATTACCAAACTGACCTTAAAATTCAATTGATTACTAAAAATAGAGCCAACACAACAGGTAAGAGTACCTTGAATTAACGATTGATTGATGATGAAACGAGGATCAATTAAGCATTGAGATCAAAATTGAAGTGTGAATTATTCTGACAAACAAATATTGTTAATTTTGGTTTCAGTTTAGGCGAGTGTACTTTTATTATTTTTAAATGTTTTACTTAATTTCTGATATTATATACAATGTTTAATTAAGTATATATTTTGTATATATATAGCAATATATTGTTGCCAACTTGGTATTTTTGGAATTAAGTTAAATTAAGGTAATTTATTTGTTTTATCAATTTATTTTTAATTCATCAATATTGTTTTTTTTTTTCTTCTGTTTATTTGTTCTCTTAATAGAAAAATTGAAAATCATCTTCTATTTAAAAATTATTTTTATACTCATTCATCATTCACTGTTCTATGTTTTAAAAAAATATACAAGTAGGTTAAGTGATTCTATATTTGTACCTACAATATAATTAAAATGCACGGAACATTGCACATATACACGTGATATAAAACAAATCAGTTTAGGGTTCAAAACTTTCACATGAAATAACAAAAATATCACATGTACCTTAGCTTAAACTCCTTAATTTATTAATCATCCAATTTACTATTATTATTCCAGTATGAAGAATATATATGTATGTAAGATTCGAAATATATAGAAATGCAATAGTTAGGTGGATTGTAGATTTGTACATTTCTTCAACCAGGGTAACAGTAAATCGCGACTACGTATAAGAATCTATTGTGTCCCCCCCCCTGAGTGGGGGCATGCTCCTACAGCACCCACTCAAAATCCACCGCACTGATTAACCTGACCAGTGTGCGAGGTTCTGAAGAACGCAACTCCGCTGCCGGATTCTACCAGAAAGTGTTTAGAGATCTCCTTATCTTCGCCAC